CTGTCACTGCTGACTGCAGAAAAGAGTCCCACCTCTTGGAACCCAGCTGCTCTCCCAAGTTCTTTCCCCACAACATCCCTTTGTGCCCACCCTGTCTACCCAGCAACCAGACACTGCAGGACTCTCTAACCCACATTGTCTTTGTCCCCCCAAATCTTCCTCAGTGCCTTGTAGCCTTATAGTCATCCCAATCCACAAACCCCAGAGAACAACCACCTAGGGACATGCAGGTCCAACCACAGCAGGGCTCGGGGCACTCTCATCTTAACTTTCCCCACGGTACCCTCTTCCATGCCTACCACACAGCAGGAGCTGTTGAACTGCCATCATCAGCAATGGCCTGAAAGAGGTTCTCAGAAAGGTTAAGAATAAGAGAAGGGAGCAGAAAGGAAGTAACTGGTTCTGTCCCCAATGACATGAGCTGCCCTGGGACTCTCTTTCATTTTGGTCAGGTTCATTTTCAGGACTATGGAGTTCCCACAAAACCTGACCTACCCTTCTCCCTAGGAAGGCAGGGTGAAGATCAGGCCCAGAACTGACTCGAGAGTCATTTGCAAACCCGGGGGCCCTTAATACTCAGGGCACTGTCAACTACAAACACAAGGAGCCAAAACTGTAGTTTTCTATTTGTCCTCATAAAGCGAATTTGGTCTCTTAAGAGTCTGTTGCCTTTTCGTTGTTGGTTTAAAAAGAATGAACATAGCAATGGGAATACAAGCAGGCCTGAACTACCTGCCAGGCAGGGAGACAGGAGAGCTGCGGGAGAGAGGCTGCCAGTGCCTCTGGATCAGGCCAGAACTGGGGAAATGGGTAGCTGGCAGAAGCCAAGCACATCAAACACACATTCTTGAAATCACAGGACTGGCAGACATGAAGGTGCTCCTGGCCACAGGAGAAGCAGGGAGCCGGACTGAGGGCTGAGCATGCGGTCTGCACTGTTTCCTGAAGCGAGCCGTGACAGGTGCAAGCAGAAAGACAAAGCCTGGAGAACAGAGTGTGGGCAGGGTTAGGGGCAGCACGGGCAATATTGGTGGAGGCAGTGTGGGGTGAACGTGAGGATGAAGACAATCAGGACACGACAGTGACAGAATGGTGGGTGAGGATGGATGGCTGTGAGGAGGGCATGGTCCCCATATTCCCTGGGAAGCCCCACCCACTACAACCTGGAGCATGGAGCGCCTTGGTGGCTCTGTCCATGCTTACAGTGGGGTTGAGTGGTCATCACCTGCAACCACAGACACCAGTTCCCAAGACCCCTGTTCTTGTCCCCTCTGCTGTTACAGATCACAGATTGTGGCTAAATTTGGCCTTGAACCCCTAACTAAGCCAGGCCTCTGGGCCATGCAATCTCCCCCTCAGTGCTGATCCTGGTCTGCCCACTCCTTAGCTATGTGACTGCTGACTTGAGCCTACTTTCTCTAGGCTTACAGGGCTGCTCTGTGCATCTGGCAGTGTTGCCAGAAGACCTAGATGGATCTGGACACACACTGGTTAAGAATCTCTGACCATCCACAGGGAAGCCCTCTGACCTCTGAGGCCCTTCCTGGCTTTGACACTCTCAAGTGACACAGAGTGTGATAGGTGACAGCAAGGCTCTCCATCCAATAGACACTGCTACTGACATATCCTGAAAGTCAGTTAAGTCAGGTCAAATGATGGCTAAAGCCATTTAGGAACAGTCCTGCTCCATGCATCCTTCACCGAGGCACCTCCAACAAGAACGAAACACAGAAATACAATCTGTACAGTCAGTCTCACAAGCCCGGAAGAGACTTTGACCATATTGTCTCTCAGCTCTGCCCCAACAAGCAGGAAGCCCTGCCTGCTCTCACCTAGATTTTCTTTTAGGGAAACAAGGTCACTGTCAAGCCTGATGGTGGCCGTGAAGATGGAGACATGCCACCACCCTGCAGGTACCTGCCTGAAGCCTGGCACTGAGAGCATGCGGTGCTATGTGGAGACACCTAACTGCTCATGCATGTCCACATGTGCAGACACCTATTATGTGGGGGCAAAACAAGATTCTACTCAACTATCCCCCTTGCCATTTGACATGTGCACACAGCGACCACTGGGAGCCCCTTAAAGGTTATAATGTACTTCTCATGTCATTTCCCTAGACAGGAAGTCTCAATATAAGTATATGGGCCAATTCCAGAAGATACACAGAAGGAAGCTAGTTGAGATGGGAAAACAGCTGCATCAGATGGACACTCCATCTCTCCCTCTGTTTCAGTCTGGTCAGTCTAGGGTGCCCTTGTGACCTTGCTAAGCAGAGCTGCATGTGATGGTTGGCTACTGTGGCCTCGGGCCAATCCTAAAGCTTTCGCCAAGTGTGATAGACTGCAGGCAACACAAGGTTGCAAGTCAGACAGTGAAGCTGGGTCTTAGGAAGGAGCTACTATCAAATGGCAAGCTAGTCATATCCACCTGATGATTCGTTTGGCACTGCCTACACCTCTTTTGAGGCTACACTCCAGCTAGAAAGTTGGGGTAGAAAACAAGACTGATGACATGCCCCAGGACCTGGGCTTCTCACTCAATGAGGTACTACCCAATTCGTGTACCTGCTTCACTGATCACCTGAAGAACTGCATCTAGAAGAGGCCAGGCTGTGAAATATTTTTAATACCTTTGAGGGAAACCAAAAAAAGGCTCATGTCTAAGGAAGCTGAGCTTGTAATCAAGGGAGCTAGGCTGGAATTCAGAGGTCTGACTCCAGGGCCTAGACTGCTCTTGCCCCTCCATTTGACCTTTAACAACTCCCTAGTCAAAGTGACACTGGGCTAGAAGCACCCAGCACCCTAGCTGTACTGGGAGAGTGACTGACTCAAGAGGAAGTAATAATACCCCTGTCCTTGATCAGATTATGAGACAGGAGTAGCGGTGGGTAGTGTGGCTTCAAGCTACCAACAAATAAATGCCTTGGTTTGCTTGCTGCTGCCTAAGGTCTAGACCTTTCTCTAGGAACCAAGAAACTGATGAAAAGGTCACTACAACATCTGAAGAGTACAGCTATTTTAGGGATCTAATTACTTTCCTGTTATAAACATTTCTTTAGGGATGCAGAGGGTGAAGAGGCTGGGGGTTCGGAAGGCATATTTCTCTATACAGTGGGTCTGGACAAAGATGGGGTATGGGAACACAGTGGCTTCAGTTAACAGGAATAATTTTGAAACCACTGAAAGTATACCCGAACTTATTTATTCTGCAAACTTCCAGAACAAATAGTTAGGTTAGCACCATAAACACGCCACGCCCAGTACCCAGTTCCTAAACTCTGCAGTAGCCCCCAATAGCTCTATGGTTGCACATGTGCCCACATGGGTTATAAGACCTATGTGCCAAGTGATGACATGGGCTCCTCTGAGGCACTCCTGCTCCTCAAAGCATGATCAATCCTGTGGGCTGATAGCCGAGCCCATGGCACCTGTAATCTGAGCTGGTAGGAGTGGGGTGGGGCTACAGAACTGGTACAGGTCCTCCCCAGCCCAGAAGCACATGATAGGGTCACAGCACAAAACCACTGAAAAAGGCAGTCCTCTCTCCTGAGATTGTTGGCATGGTAGCTGAATCCTCACCAGAAGTATCTAGCAGAGACTCACAGAGCAAGGGTCTACTTCTGTGTTTTCTCAGTATCTTCAAGAGTTAGGGATTAAAACAGTGTGTTTCTCCTAATCAACTGGAATTAACTAAGAAGGGCAAGAGGCTCTTAGGAAGGGAGATCTTCTGAGCTGGAAACTGGATGACCTAGGGGTCAGCTCCTCTCATTTCTGCTCTGGAGAGCTGTAAACACAGGGACTTATCAAAGACAATCCAGTGGGAGGTGATGGAGACACAGCACACAGAGGTCCTCAGGCTCTTTATAACACATGCTGCAGGCCTAACTCAAACCCACGAGGGATGCTCAAGTGCACTGTTTTTCCAAGAAGTTACCAAAACGCCAGTCCCAGAGGAGAGGAATGAGAAACCCTAGCCACTGTGCCATCCTTCCCTGGCTTTTCTGAAACTGATTTCAGCGCAGTGAGCTCTCCAGGAATCTGTATACCAGGCAGGCCACATCAGGGTGCGGGAGCCACGGCACAATAGTCCTACCCCCTCAGCTCTCTGCTGGACCTCAAAGTGAGAGCTACCATGGCATCCAGATAGTCCACCCTTCCCCTAAGAACCACCTGATATGGAAGAGCCCTGGTGCCAATCCTACCCACTCAGGAGGGCCCCATCACCATACTAGAAGGCAGAGCAAGGCCTATTACCCACAGCCAGATGAGATGAGTGACATGGAGTGAGGGTGCCTTCGGCATTATTATTACCTCTCTAATACCCACTTCAATGATCATCTAAGTCCATCAATTTGCTGATCCCAAGTATTCGGTCACCAGCTTTTTACTATACAGGTGAGAACATGGAAAGATTAAGCTATAGGCCAGCATGCAAGCCTCCTAATGTTAGTAAGGGATGTGACTGAATAGTCGCCACCTGCCTCATCCCGCATGGGACAGCCTTACAAACGTCCTACTTGATCTATCAGCATCCTATCTGGATGCCCAAGAGTGACAGATTTAGAGTTAGTTATGGCCCACCTACAACCACCAAAGGACAGAGGGCCATGACAAGGTGCCACAGTCAGCTGTAGGCCACATGGAGCTGACGTGCAAAGAATCAATCCAGGCAGCCTACAGGGTCTTCCAAATGTCATTCAAAGAAGATGTTGGCATCCCCATTTTGCAGGTAGGAAATGCAAAGTCAGCTGCCCCAGCTGGACCTGTTCCTCCCCGGCCTCCCAAGTGGGCGGGTGGCAGATGGCGACTCTGAGCATGTCTTGGAAGCACAAGAAGCACTGTGAATCCATGAGGTAAATGAACAGCCGCAACATTGCCCGTGTCACTCCAGACCCAGCACCCCCCTCAACAAAACAAAGCGACAAATGAAGTCGCTCAAGCACCCTCCCCACAATTGGAGTGCCACAATGGGCACAGTAGGGAGAACAGGCACTATACCGTCCGGCGTCGCCTGCTGATGGGGTTTTTTACATTTGACGTAATCGTGGTCAATCGGAGTGGCTGTGTAAGGTGGGGATGTCAGACCTGGGCCAGAGGAGGGGAGGGAGGCTCCGGGGCCCGGCAGTGTCCCAGCTGAAGAGTGGGAGTCCTCATCCACCAGGCAGGCCTTCTCCCTGTGGGACAGAGGTACAAATCAAAGTCCACACTATGATGAAATAAATGCACTACTATGGGCCAGCACCTTTCCCAGGGTCTGCTGCTGTGAGTTAGGGTCAGAGAAAGCAGGCCAGTTCACCATGGAGCCTGGCACTTGGTAAGGGTTCTTCAGAGAACAAGCGAGAAGTCAGTGTCAGGGAGAACATGCTTACACTCTTGTCCAGTCAGCACTTGAAATGAGAAGGGATAGAAAGTTTCCCTTTTCTGAATCCTAACCCACAAAAGCAAGCAACCCACACTGAGGAGGCTCCTTCACAAGCAGCTGCACCTTGCTTTTTTGTTTGTTTGTTTGTTTGTTTTAAATTAAAGGAACCTGGAGGGGACTTCAGTGGTAGAACACTTGCCTAGCATGCACAAGGCCCTGGTCTCAATCCTTTAGTACCACAAAAGCAAAATAATCCTGCAATTGTATGTGTTCAAATAACTGTGCACAAATATATAGAAAACTATTTGAGAAATTAAACTGACTAATGGCCAGTTCTGGTGACAAGAGGAGAACTGTCACATTTCAGTCTATGCACATGTGTCTGATTTCCTATGACTACAATATATTCACATATTGCCTGTTTAATTATTTTTTTCTGGACAGAATTACAAACGATGAAAATTTCATTGTACCCTGGAAACCTTTTATGACTAGAAAACACCAATCAATAACTTTTGAGTACACTGTGCCAACCTAAGTGACCTACCCCCCAAGTGCTCATCTCCCCCACAGAAGAAACACTGCTTGTGCAGGGCTGCGCACAGTCGGCTGGAGGCACAGATCATGTGACTACCTATAGCCATGAACAGAGAGTTCTTAGGGTCAGGCCTGGAACAGGTTTCTCAGCTGCATAATCCTCAGCCAGGTAGAGCCTGGGATGCTTGTATTGAGTGGAACAGTGGGATAGAAACATCACAGTAGAAGGTTCCTGGCCCCAAGACAACTTGTGTCAGGGAATGAATGAGGAGACTGTGCCAGGCTCCTGCTTCCTGGCTCTCTCAGCACTGAGGGAAGAGCCTCATGGCCATACACTGAGCCTCAGATGTCACCCAGCTGGAGCGTGGGTAAGAGGAAAAAGTAAAGCAGTATGTGACTAGGTTCTGCACAAGACAAAGCTTTGTTCCACTGGAAGGGGAGCGGGGCTGGCTTCTCCCCAGGACTCACCCTTGCCAGTACCACAGAGTAAAGAGAGCAGGGACAGCAGATTCAACAGAAATAGCTTGGCCCCACAATCAGACTTTGAGTCCCAGTTTATCCAGAAGTCCTCCTCTGATTACTTCACTAGAGAAGATGAGCCACCCAGGTCCCTGCAAGCCAGTACTCACTTTTCGGATGCTTTGGGTGTATTCTTCTCCTCGCCCCTGGCAAAAGGTCCTTCTGCTGCCTCCTTCATAAAGCTGACCAGGACCTCCGCAGCAACCCCAGAATCAGGTTTGCCCAGGAGCTTCAGGATGGAAGCATGGAGCCGGAAGTACACCTAGAACAATACCTCGGGCATAATAAGCAGCCTTCTCCAACCTAAGGCCTGTTCCACAGGTGAAGCAGCCATGTTATACACAGGCTGCTGCTGTCCCGAGAGACAAGCCACTACACGTTGCCTTTTTTAGCTTTTACCCACCCCACCCCAGCACAAATAAGCCCTGAAAATGAAAAAGGATACTGTCAACATTCTAACTTAAACATGTACCCAGTAATCCAAGCACACGGTGGTGGGGTAATGATAGTAGCTGCCAGCCAGTGGGCACTGCCTCAAGATCTGATGTAGCCCAGGCTAGCCTAAATCTTGCTATGTAGCTGGTGGTAGTCTGGAACTTTTGATCCCTGTCTCAACTTCCCAAATGCAATATTTTTTGTGTGATTACAAAACTGGCAAATATTAAAAGGAGGCTCTTAGACTGGCTAGAGCACCAAAGGGCTCATGGGTGTCCTTCTCTGGAGTAAGAGTAAGCCTTGGTCAGAACTGTAAGTCGTCTACAATTTCACCTGGAAACGCTCCTAAGAACTCTGACACAAGATGACGGACGCGTGCTTCCTCACACTATCCCGACAAAGTCCATGAAGAGGCTGTTCAGGTAAGCAAATGCTCTGAGCAGCTGGAAGGCATGGAACAGGCAGGAGAGCTTTCCATTCCTTCTAGTACACCTTGTCTGATGAAAATGTGAGCTGCAAAGCCTAGGGCAGTGCTCCTACCCACAGGGATAGGAAAGAACACCTAGACCTTCAAGAACATAGCTAAATTATTAGTACAGATTATGGGGTGGGGACACCAGGGTCTCTGCAGACTTTCATGTTTTATATTCTTGAGAATTTTATGACTCTCTTAAAAAAATGAATACATATAGCATTTATAATCAGGGAAAACAAAAACCAAACAAAAACCAAACAACAACAACAACAAAAACCCTGTGCCCACAGAAGCAGGAAAACAAGAAACAGAGTCTGCCTAAATTCTAGGATGTTCACTGCCCATGTGGGACTCACAGGGTCAGTGCTTGCAGCCTCTAGAAGGGTAAAGCTATCATGGTCAGGGCCTTGGGAAGCTCTGAGTCCTGAGCTGAGAAAAGGTCACTGGGTTTCCACTGGCGTTCTTTGCTTCCTCACCTCTAAAAGGGTTTGCTGGGCTCCTGGGACTGCTAAGAACAATAAACAGTGTGAGCCTTCATCAAAAGTATTCGAGAAATCATAAAAGTGAACCCCGGCAATAGAGCACTGCTCTAGTCTTGAGCAGCAGTGAATCAACACAACACAACATAACACAACACAACACAACGTTCTGTGATCAAAGCAGCCTGTGTTTATCCTGGTTAGCCCAAACACAGGCGGAGGCCTCACTTGGCCTGAGGTGCCTATCTGATCCTAGGGTCAAGAGTGACCACTGCCTTCCTCCTGCCATGCAGTAGGTCTGAATGACTCTGCAGCTACGGATGTTGCACTGTAGGGTCAGTGTGAGAACGTGAAGGCTGTGAAGAAGGCTGTTTCCTCTGAGAAATTAAAACAAAATGTTATCCTCTCCAAAAAGGGTGGCAAGCATCTTAGGGAAAGAGAGGCCAGGCTGCTTGAATTTAATTGAACATGAAGATGCTGAGCACAGAGATGTTACCAGTGGGGTTGCAAGGAGTCATTGGGACTGTGAGCTCCATCCCCAGGGAGAAAGAGTGAGCAGACCCTCCTGCCCTGCCTTCCTACCCTGGACCTGTAGTGTTACCTCCAGGGCTTCCATGGCCAGCTCAGGTGGGTTGTGGTAGTGGATCTTCTTAGGGTAACGGGCAGCCTCCTCGTGCAAGTAGTGGCCAGCTTGCCGGTAGTGCAGCAGGTACACAGTTGGTGGTTGCTGCTGCTTCTCAGCCACCTTGCCGAGCATGTAGTGAATGAGCCATTCCTCCTCATCACCATCGCCCTCACAGTGGGCTGCAGATGTGAAACAGTGCCTGGCTGTCTCCAGCATGCTGTCGCGCCGATCCTCCATCTATAACAAGATCACAAGCCTGCAGACTGGCCTTAGGGACAATGCCTGCACCTACCCAGGGATCATGATTTTCTTGGTTGAAGTCAGCTCACTTGTTCACAGAATTATAATCCTCTCAGGAAACCTGAGACCCAGAATTGCTGTCACCAGGTCACAGCTGTAGACAAGGAGATGTGGAGCTTGGGAGTTCCTTAAAAGCATGCCAGGTCCAGAACTGGACTTAAGATTCAAGTGACTGCACATCAACTCAAAGGTTCTTTCTTTTAGCTTCTTCCTGTAGCACCTAACAGTAAAGTTTATGAAGTTCCTATTGACCTCTTTCTAGGTTCCCAATTATAGCCTGCATGGTTATGGTAAAGACTGGTGCCCATCATCCATCAGCATAAGGAGGAAGAAAGCTGATGTGACTATGCCTCATCGGTCTTTAAAAAATCAGGCATCCGGTGCCGAAATCGCAGCCGCCAACATGGTGAACGTTCCTAAGACCCGCCGGACATTCTGCAAGAAATGCGGCAAGCACCAACCCCACAAAGTGACACAATACAAGAAGGGCAAAGATTCTTTGTATGCCCAGGGAAAGCGGCGTTATGACAGGAAACAGAGTGGCTATGGTGGGCAGACTAAGCCTATTTTCCGCAAAAAGGCGAAAACTACAAAGAAGATTGTGCTGAGACTGGAATGTGTGGAGCCCAACTGCAGATCTAAGAGGATGCTGGCTATTAAGAGATGCAAGCATTTTGAACTGGGAGGTGATAAGAAGAGAAAGGGCCAAGTGATCCAGTTCTAAGCTGACCTTGTTATGAAGACAATAAAATCATGAGCTTTCAAAAAAAAAAAAAAATCAGGCATCCTTCACAGAATGAAGCCCCAACTGCAGGGAGTGAGCGCCCTGTTCCACCCTCTCAGTGGGGCAGGCAAGCTGACCTAAGGAAACACGCATGCAGCCCTTGCCCCACAGCCCTGGAGAGAACCGCACCTAGCACCCAATCACAGCACTGAAAACAGTGTGAACCTCTGGAGTAAAACAGCTTCCTGCTTCTCCTCTTTGCCCTTTCAAAGAGATATTCTGAACCTGTAAAGGCAGATTCCTGAGCTCCATGAGACCCACTGACTTGGAGCTTATATTTAGGCAGAGCCTCTAGCCAACCTTTCACAGACAGAGTCTGTGACAAGTCATAACAGAGGGTCAATTTGTAAGAGGCCTTCCAACATAGTTGCTTTTTCTACTTCTTGGCAGCTGCCAAGCACACAGAGCTCCCAGGTTGGAGACAGAGTGGAGAATGCTGTGCTTTGGGCATCCTAGGTCTTTGGTCCCTCTTCACTGTGCTCTGGCTTGATGGCAGGGAGGCTGTAGCCTCTTCCCAGCTCACCTCAGGGACCAGAGCCCGGAAGGCACACAAGCACTGGTGTTCAGCAAGGGGAGCTGCTGGGGCCATACACATGTGCTCTGTCTGACATGGCACACCTGCCCTACTTATGTTTGCTTGACGGAGGCTTACTTTTGCGAACATTCTATAGCAATAGCTGACTTTGGGGGCTGTGTGCTACCCAGATGCTCTGCGAGACATTTTCTAAAAAGAAACTGGCCATCTAGGAACTACAAACCCATCCCTGAATGAATAAAAAGAATCCCAGCACAGGGCCAAGCATGGCGCAGGGAGTCTATCACATTCAGGGCCTCAGGAAAAGGCAGCTGCTTAAGTGTAGTTCTTCTGTCTGGACTGCTCAATAGCTGTGCGGCACTGCCAATATCCCTGTTTCTGTTAATTCAGCAGGCGTAACATCCCACAGGAAGAAAGGGACACTCACCAACAGTGTGTGTCTAGAAGCTCTGCCACTAGACTACATTCTGGCGTGCCATTCTCGGAAGAGATTGGATACCCTTCCTCATGGCACTGCTGGGCTTACAAAATGGTTGAGGCAGGCATCATGACTGACCTCTCCAATGCTGTCTGAGAGAATGAATGACCATCTTTATATGTAGCCTGAAGCAGAGACAGAACATTAAGTTACTCCCCACGAGTCACTTGCTTAGGAAGTTCTGGTCCCCAGTTCTTTCTCCTGCCTTAGAACTGACATCACAGGGAATGTTTTCACTTTCCTCACCACCTCTGGGAAGTCTGCAGGTGAAAACTGAAGAGTATAGGAGCTCAGACACATCAAACATGTTCAACAGCCCATTTCTCAGACACGGTAAGTCTGAACACAGCTCAAGCAACCAGAGGACCGCATCCTAGGAAGCTGACTCCCCTGAGGTGGACAGAGTTCAGGGAACACAGGGCAGTCCTGCAGGGCAGTATGTGCCCCAGACAAGGAGGCCAAACCCATCCCTTCCCTCGGGGTTCCTGCGTCCCTGGGCCTTCTAGCCCCTCCGGCAGTCCTGATACTTAAGGGAGGCAGAAGGCCTAAAAGCAGTTTCAGGATCTGAGCTGCCTGGGATAACAGGGGCCATCAGGCAAACACCAGGGTCATCCAGAAGCTGTGAACCTGGGTAGAAGAGAACCACACCAGAGGACAAGGTGGGGGGATGTCAAGTCCACCTATGGGAGCTGTACAAAAAGTGCAGAGAAGATTCCTCCTGACTCTCAGGATGTGCATTTCCTGGAAAGTGTAAGTGTGAAATTTCACCAGGATCAGTGATTCTAAGATCCAGGCCACCTTACCTCACTGTGTGTACCCAGAGGATAATTGTGTTCCTAATGTTACAAGGCCACCCATGGAGTCAAGTTCTATAGCAGCAGGTGGAGGGGGATCAGAGGCCATTGAAACACAAACAAATGCAGTAAGTTGTTTCTGTACTGTCAGTTAAGGACTCTACTACACCCATAGAGAGTAACCTGAGAAGGGCTCAACAGTGCAAGCAGAGGGGAAAGAGAAGCCACACACTGAATTTAATAGAACAGTATCTAGGCTGAAAGAAAAAAATCAAATAGGCAAATCCTCCTAGATTTTTCTAAATATACACACTTCATTTGTGTAAAAAAGGTTTTGTTTCCTTTTGAAGTCTAGAAAGACACAAATTGAATAATGGTGTCTTAAAGAAGGTGATGCTTAGTTGAGAGCCATGCAGCACTTCCTCACTGTGCTCCTGTCAGGGTTCAGCCCTGTGGAGCTGTTAGCAGACTACCTCTAAGGCCACTGCTCTCACCTATCTGCCACTGGTGTCGGTCTATCCCTATGATGTCACATACAAGCCACTGGAGAAAAAAATTAAGGAAAACATAATAACCACCCAGGAGGTTGCAAAAAGCACAGCTGTCTGAGGGTTCCTGTATGTCTTTTTAACAAGCGTCACACCCATGCAAGAGATCAGTCAAATATGGGAGTCGTTATTTTCACTCATCTGTAGAGTGCACACAGTCTGGACATTGAAGGAGGAAAAACTTTGGGACCGAATTGCTGAGTCTAGAACTCAGAGGCCAACTCCTGAACTGAGGGACTGTAGTGCCCCGAGCACAGAGGAAGGTGGCATCACTGTGTGAGACCTCAAACAACAGCAGCAGTAAAGCCTAGTGTTGTGCTCCCAGTCTGTCACACTCTCAGGCAAGTGTGACAATTCTGAGCCTTTGTGCATAAGGATTGAGAACTAACACAGTTGGCCACTGCCTGTAAAGAGAAAACTCCTGAAAGGCACAACGAATTCAAACTCCCAGGGAAAGGAAGGCAGCTCCCAAATAGGTCTACAAAAGCAGCTTTCTAAATTTATGCTGCAGAGGTGAAAGGTGTGTGTCACATGATCATATAACTGATAGAAAGTTGAGCTCTCCAAGAGTCACATTCTTGGCATTGTCAAAGTTCTAGTTACATAAGATCCAGAAGACATTTCGCTATTAATTTTTTCATAGAGCCCAATGACATCTTTTATTCACTACTTATTACAGTAACTCAGTCCTTATTAGCAGATGGACTTCGTGACTTTCCCAGGGCTGAGGTCCTCAAATAGTGGCCTTGTATTCACGGTAGACTGTTAGGGATGCGACTCAGATTATAAGAGTGGCCATCTCTAGTGGTGAAATGTACTGCTGCATTCTTCATCATGCTTTCCAGTATCATTTGAAGAGTTCAAAGGCTCTGAGAGCCTGTGTCTTACTCTGCAGGGTCTTGAGGGCAGTAGGGACCTTGCCACAATGTCAGTCCACACTCAAGGAGACAGCGCTTTCAGAGGACTGCAGTGGCGTCTGCCGAGGGTCTCCTCAGCCCTCCAGCAGTGTCACCTTTCCCGGGTTTTAATCAGATGATCATTGCAAAACCTGAGACCAAGTACTGTCTACCTGACTGGTCAGCTCCTTCAACACCCTGCTCTGCTCTGCAACCTTTCTGAGCTGCAACACCTTGTTGTCCTGCCAGCCTAACTTTGCTAGCATGAGGGTAGCTCTGTGGCAGTGTGCGCTCAGCAGGCACAGGACCTGGGTCTGATCCACAGCACCCTTCACCCCTCCCTAAACAAACCCTAAACATGTCAGCATGATTCCTCCATTTCCATCTGAAGGAAATAATGGTGCTCTTGCTGAGCAATGACTGCAAGTCAGATCTTGGATCTTGCACTAGAAGAACGCTGCACACCAAGAAACTGAAAAACCTTAATAAAAGGTAAGGATTTTACCATGGCCCCAAAAGTCCTTTGAAGCAAAAAGGGAAGAGGTGTCTACTTCAGATGGCCAACATCTCCTCTCTACACTCAACTATACTCAAACTGATGACCAGCTGGTCAGGTCACAATAGTTTACCTCTGAAATTCCTGCCAATGGACTAGGTGTAATGGATTAATAAAAATTGCTACAGATCCCCGGGTAGCTGCAGTGGCAGAAACTGTGCAGGTCTCCCAAGCGGCAGTGGCAGGCAGCGGGACATGTGGTGGCAGGCAGGGGGCAGTGGGTTCCGAGAGCAGGGACTGCTCAGACCATGCTCCAGGTCTTTGAAGGCGGCTGGTCACGGGCAGCGAGCCCCCTGGCGGCGGCAGATGAAAGACAGACGGATAGGTATGCCATGCAGAGTGAGGTTAGATATTTATTTAGTGGTTATAGAAGAGAGGGGAGAAGAGCAGAGAAGTGGAGGGGGGGGGGAGAGAAGGGAGAGACGGAAGCTGCCTCTCCGAGAGGGAGATGAAAAAGAGAACTCAGGCTGGAAGCTGAAGATCAGCCTGTCTCAGAAGATGGGGGAGGGAGTGGGCATGGCTTGTCTCTTAAACAGACAGAACAATCATTATACTAGGTACCCAAAGACCAAGAACAAAGTTATTACTGACCAGGATACATGTGTGTGAGAGTAAGAACAAAGAACAGAAGGGCCCCTAGGGCAGTCTAGTTAGAGAGAGGATTGCAAGCCTTTCAGCAGCACCCCTTCTCACCTGCTGTACAAGCTCCGGAGGCAGCTCAGCTCTCCACTGCTTCAACTGGCGTGAAGCAAATGAGTGTAAGGCATAGGACATGGTGCCATACTCAATCCACAAGGACAAATTAGAGCTGTCAATCTCGAGGGCCCTCCGGAAGCAGTTCAGAACAGGTGTGGCATGTTTCCAGATGGGTCCATCACTCTTCAGTTCATTTGAGTTCAACTTGTCCTGAATTCGGCTGGCCCGGGCCAGAGCCATGCCTGCCCAGGAATCGAACCTAGGGTAGTGACAAAAGTACCAGCTAAAAACACTGCTGTCCCAAGGGCACGGAAGTCAGGCAGACATTCTGGTAGTTCTGCTCCACACATGGCTCAAAGCCCAACTCAGCCATTCCACAGTCTGGATCATGACATCGCCTTGTCATGGCCTTGATCCCTCCATCATTACATGTATTTAATGCATGAGGATGAAGGACGGTGTGCTAGGAGACAAAATGTTTCTTCTGTGTCCCTTGGCACTTGGCAAGCAGCCGATGACTGCTCCTGTAGATGGGCTTTGGGGCTCTATTCCCCAGCAGTAAAGGATGACCCAGGGCACTGCACTGGTGGAAGGGAACAACACTCCCAAAAGGCCTCACAAGAGGGGTCCAGCTGAGGCAATAAAAAAACAACTTATTTCAGTTTCTCCCCCACCCCCAACCGAGGCTCATATTTTCACCAAGCAAGAACTCAGGGAACAGAGAAGCATGGGCCCCAGCCACTCAGTTTATTCTTATTGTCTCTTGGATCCTATTTATTCTCTCAGCTCAGATACCTGCAATAAAATGAACAAGATGGCAGGTAATGGCTGGGACCTGATGGTTCTGAGACCACCCGAGAGAAGCTAAGGCAGGAAAACACAAAAGATTCTGGGAGATGAGTAGCCATGGAGATAATACACCAGGACAGAGGTGATTTCTGAGCTCCTACAGAGCTGTTTACTGAGTGCTGGTCCAGAAAACAGAAAACGCAGCAACCAAAAGAGCTAGTGCTGCCCTGTCCCATAACACCATCAGTTCAGCCCACCACACCTTTACAATATCTGGTGTGAGTTTACGCAGGCTAACTGCTGTCCAGAACTGTCTGACCATCCCAAGAGAAGGCAAAGGCAAATAAACCCCATGAGCCCCTAAAGTGCTTTCACTGTTCTCCAATCAAAGATGGCACCATGTAAACAAAGGAGCAGGGGAGACACCAAAGACTCAATGGTGGCTTCACCCTTCATGTGAGAGGCTTCTGATAGTAGCCTTTCTTCCTCAGAGGTCAGGAGCCCAAAGCAACCATTTCTTCCCTAGCTCTGCTCAGCCTACTCTGGAGAACGGAACAGGAGGAGGCCTTAAATCGCAAATTCTTCACCAAGGCCAATTTCACAACAGGAACTTCTTTTCCATATCCAACAGCTCTGAGAGAGGTTACCCTCACCTTGAGGAAAGGAAACGTTGTGACAGTCCTGTGTGGCTGCATGAGAACCACTTCCTCCCTACACAAAGCAGCCAGTGCAGAGAGGAATCACCATGAAAACTCAGAAACAGGCTGGAGTGATAACTCAGTAGTCAAGAGCACTTGCTGCCCTCCAGAGAACCTGGGTTGAGTGCCCAGCACCCACATGGCAGCTCACAGCCATCTGTAATTCCAGTTCCAGAGGATCTGATGCTCTCTTTTGGTCTCCAACTGCACCAGGCATACATATAATGCACAAACATACATGCAGGCAAAACACCAATATACATTTAACACACACATACACACACAGAGAAAAATAAACATGCCCCTGTCCTCCTGATGTGAGGCCTTTGATACAGGTGATATCTTATAAATTTGCTTTTCTATCCAGAGCTCAGCCCCTTCCTCCCTTGTACAGGTAGGATTGTGGGAAGGTGAATTCTATGGTTTCCTAAGGCAGGGCAGTTCTGTGCTCACCCATGATCCAAGAGCAGCCACCATGATGGTTCCTAAGTCCTTCTAGAGAGTATGTCTGCAGGGCTTTTCCTTCAGACAGAGGCTGGCTACAGGGTAACTTTATCTGACCACGTCCAAAGCCCACCTTTCCAGGTAGACCCTTTAGTCAAGTGGACTGAGCTTCGTGAGTATAGCAGAGTCCTTCAGAATGCTTAGTTCTGAAAATTCATTACATTTTAGGAGGACGCTCAACAGGGTGCTACAGAAGAAGCACAAGCCTTGTATACAAGGCTCCTACACACCATTGGGACAAACCTCACTGTTGACAGATAGCAAGACAAAAACAAACAAACCAAGAACAGAAACAAAAAACAAACCCCCAGACACCAGCTTTTCTAGTATTTCTCTTTAGTTAGATAGTTTATTTTCTGTATGTGTTTTGTGGGTATTTATGTATGAGAAAATGAATGTGCCTGGGACCTACAGAAGTCAGAAGAAGATGTTAGGTCCTGCAACTGGAATTACAGTGGCCATGTGTGGGTTCTCTTAACCACTGAATCATTTCTCACCCCTGGTATCCTCTCTTAACCCCCAAAAGCAACCCTAATTAAAGAGCCTCTCTATCCCGAACAAACCAGTTGTCCTGGTTCCTGCTACCAGGACATAAGCAGCACAAAGCAGCATGGGGCTGTGTAGTATTTCCTTGCCCTGCACACCAGAAACCAAAAGGATCCCAGTGCACCTCTAATAGGACTCTGGGGGAAAAAAAAAACTTTCTTTGCTCAAGAATGCTAAGCCATTTGCTTTTCATTCTTTTTCATTATCTTGCTACAGACAAGGAAACTTTAGGCTGGCTCACTGGAGAACTGGCTAAACTAGACAGCAGGCCTCCTGGCAGCAACCTGGCTTCACACACCATCACCCACCTGTTGGGGCAGATGCAAATATCGTGCATGTAGAACTTGATGGCTTTAGACTGCTCCTTGTTTTTGAAATGATAATCGGCCAGGAGGTAGTAGAGCTCATTCACCACCGGAGGAGTGGGATCTGCCCCTTCTGGAAGGCAGGGCACCTGGCAAGAGAGGGCAAGTTTAGGAGAAGAGATGGAGTCCAGTGCAGGTGTAAACTGTCAGTTGGCTTCCTTTGATCTCTAGCAGTTGGTGCTGAGCAGACAAGAAGCAGAGCTTGAGAGGAAGCCCCAGCACCTCATATTCCTGAGACCCACCTCGGTGGAAGTTCCCTCAATGTAGGCAGAGACTTTCTCCATGCTCAGGGCTGGCTTCTCTGTGCGGGGCACAATGGTAGCAATTCTTTTTAGCAGGTTAGCCAAGTCAGCAGAAACAGTGCTGGTCTTGTAGCTATCAAATTCAGGAAGGGTCTTTGGCTTAAAATACTCAAACATAAACAGGGCATCCTCCCATATAAGATCCACCTGAAAAAGACAGATGCAGACTCAGCACACGCACAGTTAGGAAACAAGAAGTTCCTCTAGAGGAGCTCAGTGCAATGAGGTCACAGCGTGTGGTGAACAGAGCACACTCCCCACTCCACTCCTCTATGGTAAGCCTCCATTCCAGCTGTCTAAGAAGATGAAGTCATTTGTTTTCTGGGTGAGTATAAGTCTCAAGCTTCCTGAGAATATCACTGCACAGAATTATGTTATTAGTGTTAAGGTTATAACTCTCAAACAGAAATATTTAACTTTCTTAATGAATGAGAGTAAATGATAGACAATTTTATGTTAAGTATTAAGGTTTTAGTACTATTAGCCAAGAAATAACTTTTAAAATTTTATTATACTTCACGTGACTATATATGTATATGCCACATATGTGCAGGTGTCCATGTAAGACAGAAAGGGTATTAGATTCCCCTGGAGAAGGAATCAAAGGTGACAACCACCTGTTGTAGATGCTGGGAACCAAACTCAGGTCCTCTACAAGAGCAGCAAGTGTCCTTAACTGCTGGGATATCTGTCCACTAACATCCTTACCTGGATCCCACATAGTCTAGGCTGGCCGTGAACTCACTATGAACTTCTAATGATCTTGCCTCCACCACACCTGGTTTTACATGATGCTAGTAATAAAACCCAGGGCTCAATCTTTGCTACGTAAGTGCTCTACCAACTGAACTACAGAAATGTCTTTTAGGAGTCATACCTGGTTAGGGCTAGTCTCTAAAAAAACCAAATATTGAAAACTGAAGGTTAGGATCTGTGAAATCATGACCAGGTTGGGGGTGAGGGGTCAATCATAACTGGGAAACTTAGGCTACACACCTCAGAGCCAGAGTAGACATGCCATCCTAACAAGTCTATACATTAAGGTATAGAATATCTAAGATTGGACAATGGCTGATGATATTAGCCATGACATAATGTAGCCAATAGTGTTTTGGAGAGAACAAATCAAAAAGAAAAATATGTATGGAATTATGTGTGTAATCTAAACTGCAAATGAACCTGGGAACAATGAGATGTCAATCAATTACATGTTACATCCTACAGAAAAACCCTTTCCTTTGATCAGCCATCAGACCATCTCAGGACTGTGTGTAACAATCTCATGTCCCGCAAAGAGCTCTCCTCTACCTGTGAGCTGCCCCTGCCGGGCCTGAGACAGCAGGCTCACCTGCTGAGCCGAGTGTTCCTCCAGGTATCTGGCCTTGCTCTTCTTGCTGGGGAAGCTGTACAGGCAATAGAAGCACTGCTCCAAGGCAGTCTCCAGTTCCTCCTTGTAGGGGTGAGTGTCTTCAGAGGCAGATGCAGCAAGTTCCTTTTGGAGGACTTGTACCTATGGCAGGTAGGAAGAGAGACCTGAGGAATGGGTCTACAGATTCAGCTTCCCAGTCAGAGCAAGACCCCAGAGAGACCACCACTTTATCGACTCTTTTAACCTGAGGAGGTAACGCCTGGGGTCCCTGTGTGGCTAGATTCCAAAGACTTGCTTCCTAGAAAAGACTTGTTATCTTTACGGAACTGTTCTGGGTGGATCTGGTAGTAGGCTCATCAAGGCATGTGAGCTGCCTGACTTCAGTACACCTAGCCAGCATCTATCACCACCATTAGATACTCTACGACCAGGCAACATACCCACCCATTTGCTAAATATGCATTTACTGAGCAACTTCTTTTATGTGGCACAGTCTGACGTAGATCCTACTTTTTAAAAGTTCAGATTCCAATGGAGAAATGGTGCTAAATACTTATAGACAACAACTCTAAGTACCACAAGGGCTGAGGAAAATCTCCTCCAATAAAACATCACCGAGAATCAGAGGTGATACCAATACAGCAAACCAGTTATATCTCAGGATATGAAATGTTACAACTATATTTATACCCAACTGTTGATAAATATACATACGTCAAGCCTCCATAAATTTTTGCCAATACTAGATGAAAAGTAAATGTATTTATCTGTATTTATTTATTTTGCATCAAGCATTTTATCCACTGAGCTACTTCCGAAGCTGAGTGCGCTCGCGCGCTCTCGCTCTCTCTCTCTCTCTCGCTCTCTCTCTCTCTCTCTCTCTCTCTCTCTCTCTCTCTCTCTCTGGTATCTCTGTGTAGCCCTGGAACTAGCTCTGTAGACTAGGCTGGCCTCTAAGTCACAGAGATCTGCTTGCCCTCTGGCTTCCAAGTGGTGAAATTAAAGGCATGCATTCTTTTTACTTAAAGGAAAGGGAAAAGCAGAAACAATGTTAGCAATAAAAAGGGGAAAATTATTAGAAGTATGTAGAGATGTTTTAAAAAAATAAATTTAACACCAAACTGATTTATGCTATTTTTTATTTGTTTGTTTTGGATTTTGTTTGTTTTTTTAAAAAAGATTTATTTATTATGTGTACAGTATTCTGTCTGCATGTATGCCTGCAGGCCAGAAGAAGGCATTACAGATGGTTGTGAGCCACCAATGTGGTTGCTGGGAATTGAACTCAGGACCCTTGGAAGAACAGGCAATGCTCTTAACCACTGAGCCATCTCTCCAGTCCTTGTTTGGTTTTTCAAGACAAGATTTGTCTGTGTAGCCCTGGCTGTTCTGGAATTTGCTCTGTAGAGATTCTCCTGCCTCTGCCCAAGTGCTAGGATAAAAGGTGTGTGCTACCACCGCCAGGCCACTTTATATTAGTGGGACACTATTCCAAAAAGTATCACTTAAGAAAAAAATAATCTATAATCAGTAAACAATCAGAATTAGCGGTAACTAAACTTTACACACAGAAAGACCAGATCCAGGGTGGGGGAAAGGGAACGACAAACGACTGGCCGTGTGTCAGATCTTGAGACTGTCAGTTTGTTTATGACTTAAGAACAATGCACTCAAAGTTAGGGGTGAAGAAAAGAGTGGGGGTGGAGAGCATGGATAGGAGGTGACTGATCAGGCTACACTATGAAACCCTCAAAGAAGTAATACAAACGTTATAAAAATAGTATTTACATTTTAAATGTCTGAAATAAATCAGAAGAAAATGATTTTGTAGCCTGGCATAAACCAGAAATTCCAGCTACTCAGAGACTGAGAAGGAGAGGTCAAAACTTAAAGGTTTGCCTGAGTTAAATTCAAGTTTCCAGTCTAGGCAACTCAGGGAAATACTGTCTCAAATAAAAATAAAACAAGGCTGGGGTATACCTCAGTGGCAAAGACTTGCCTAATATGCACAAGGTTCCATATTCATTTCTAATACCATTACAAAAAAAAACCTACTTCATATTACAAAAAAGGAGAGAAATTCAACTTTCATCTCTACAAGTTTTACTGCTTTCACACTCCAGCAGGAGTCTGGGGAATTGCAGCAGAGCTTCTCAATGCCCACAGACCCAGAGAATGCATGCTCTCCTCTTTAGTGACAGAGTGTAACATCTGTGACCAGGTGTTAAGAGAAGGAAAAGAGAACTATAGAGACTGAAAAGAAGGGAAATAATAAGGAATCCACAGACTAATCATTTACATAGAAAATCCACTAAGTCTCAAAACCATTACAATTTACCAGAACAAGAAACCAAGTTCTATGTGTAAGAGAATTTCCTTTTCAAAATGTTCCTGTATTTCTACAAAACAAAATGAAACAAAATTAAATTTAAATATCGACTTGTAATAGGAATTTTTATTTTTTAAGATACGTAGGGTTCAAAGTATAGGCCATCAGCAGACCATATGCCTATCAAGCACAAGACCTTTTTGGATCCCCAGAACCACACACAAAAATCTAGGATTTAAGCTAAATGTGCATAATTGAATTAAGAAACAGGAACATGTAAGGCTGAAATAAATGAGAAGACATACTATGTTCATGACTAAATAATTCAATTTCGGCACTTCTCTTCCAAATTAATCAATAAGACCACTGATTTCAATCAAGATTCCAGGGAGGGCATGGTTTCCTCAAATCTTATACACTGATCTTACAATGTCATAGAAGAAGGAACCAAGCACAGCCGAGAGAATATGATGGAAATAAAGGTAAGGAGAGAAATTCTAGCAGTTTATCAGATTGTCAAGGAAACTATGGTGCTGGCACAGGAGTAGAAAGGCTGTGTGTATCAATACAGACAGCCTCCTTGCACTCACAAGAGATGAAGGAGAATTAGGTAGGCGTAGCAAGAAAATTCTTAAATAAAGAGCGCAAATCAGCTGGCCATCCATGTAAAATGTGAAACTGGTCCTACCTTGTCCTACAAACAAACAAAAAAATCTATATGGAATGGAGAACATATGTGACAACAAGCCAGGAGAAAACTTTACAAGTTTGTGGGAAGGATTTTGTGTGTGTGTTTCTGCTGTGGGACAAAGGTCTGTGCCCTGTCACTGTACTTTAATGAAATGCTGGTTGGCCAGTAGCCAGGCAGGAAGTATGGGTGGGGTGACCAGGCAGGAAGTAGAGGTGGGGCAACGAGTACAGGAAAATTCAGGGAAGAGGAAAGAGTCAGTCTGCAGTCATACCCAGACAGAGGAAGCAAGATGAGAATGATAAAGGCACCAAGCCATGTGGCTAACATAGACAAGAATAATGGGCTAATTTAAGATGGAAGAATTAGTTAATAAGAAGCCTGAGCTAATAGGACAACCGGTTTATGGTTAATGTAGATCTCTGTGTATTTCTTTGGGACTGAACAGCTGCAGGACCACATGGGACAGAAACCTCGATCAACATGCTTCTTTTACTGATACAGTGCCTGAGGATGATTTGAACTCCTGATCATCCTACCTCCACCACCCAAGTACTGGGATTCTAGGCATGTGCTATGATCTCCCTCACCTTCTCTCTGTTTACATTTATTTATTTGCTATATATGGAGGAAAAGGGCACTTGCATGCCATGGCACATGTGTGGTGGTCAAAGGACAACTTGAGAGAGTCAGTTGTCTCATTTCCCCATGTAACTTCTAGGGAGCAAACTCAAGCCATTGGGTTCGATAACAAGTGTCTTTACCCACTGCCCTTTAGAAAGACTGCTTACATGGGGACAGCACAGCTAGAAAGGAAAAGAGTTGTGTATGTGATATTAGAATTTCTGCATGCTGACTGGATGTGTATGTCCTGCCTACAGTCCTAGCAATCAGGAGTATCAGGAGGTCAGAATGGGCTACATGGTAAGACCCTGTTCCAAAATTCAAAACAAGAATCTGGTGCATTCAGGGTGGTATGGCAGTTTCTCAGAAAACTGGGGATCAATTTACCTCAAAACCTAGCAATACCATTCTTGGGCATATACCCAAACAATGCTCAATCATACACCACAAGGACACATGCTCAGCTATATTCACAGCAGCATTATTTGTAATAGCCAGAACCTGGAAACAACCTATATGCCCCTCAACCTAACAATGGATAAAGAAAATGTGGTACCTTTACACAATGGAGTATTACTGAGTGGTAAAAAAAAAACAATGACATTATGAAATTTGTAGACAAATGGATAGAACTTGAAAAAGCCACCCTGAGTGAGGTATCCCAGACCCAGAAAGGAAGCACAGTATGTACTTGCTCATAAGGGGATATTAGATGTAAAGCAAAGGACAGCCAGACTACAATTCACAGCCCCAGAAAAGCTAGGTAACAAGGAAGACCCTAACAGGGACATGCACAGATCCCCCTAGGAAGGGGAAATAGTTAGATCTCTTGGGTAAACTGGGGTTGGAGGGTAGGGGATGAGAACATGAGGAAAAGGGATGGTCAAGTTGGGGGAGGGATAGAAAGGGAAGTCAAATGAAAGAGATACCTAAATTTTTAATTTATATTTTAAAAAATGATCTTTTCTCATTTTCACAAGACAACTTACAAATTTTATGAGCAGCCAAATTATGAAAGAGAAAACAAAGGATCAACAAACATAAAAAGGTATAGGAAAGAGAGGAAGCTCTAAGAAGTCCTAAGTGAATGTATACTTTGACATGGGCATGGTCTGTTGAGTGTGCCAAAGCCAAATGGGAAATCAGCAAAGCTGTTACCTTATAGGCCAGACTCAAGAGGAATGGCAAAACTTTTCTCTTGTACAGCTTCCTCCTCCCAGGTGTGTTCACAGCCTTAGACGGCCGGCCTACAGAGACCTACTATTAAGCTAGCTAATTCCTCCAGCTATGCTGTGTCAATAAACATGCTGAGATTCCAGGCTGGTGGCAGGTTGGTAGAGGGAGTCAGAGAACTCTTACCCGGTCCCACTTAACTTCAGTGTATCTGTCCTTTCTTTATTCCTCACTGTCTATCCACAATTCCAGAATCCAAACTGCACAGGATGTAGCAAAAATCAACCTCATCAATAACTGCAAAGCAGTACAAAGAAAAAGAACAAT